AAAAAAAAGCCTGGTGGGATTTTTATGTAATTTCTACTATAGAACCACACAGGACCCCTCAAATGTGCAAACACACAAAACACAAAAAATGGAGGGGGTTCCCCGCCTCCATTTCCATGCACCTGCAGAGATAATGAAGGTATTTGGGCTTTTTCTGTATGGAGGCTGGGGGGGGGGGAGAGAGATTGGTTCCTGCCCCCCAAGTTACTCCATAGATAGTTCTTTGACTATCTATTTTAAATTGGGGCTGCTATTGGCTTCCATGTGGAATGCTTGTATCAATTCTTGTTGCTTGTGCAGTCCTCTAATATGTGCTAAGTACTAATGCAGACATAACTCTGATAGTCAACTCAATGGAGGCAGCTTCAGTTAAAAACTGTTTTATGATCTGTCATAGTAAAGGTCAAGGTTTCCCCTGACATTAAGTCTAGTTGTGTCCGACTCTGGGATTTGATGATCATCTCTATTTCTAAGCTGAAGAGCAGCATTGTCCGTAGACGCTTCCTAGGTTAGGTGGCCAGTATGACTGCATGGAGTGCCGTTACCTTCCTGCTGGAGCAGTACCTATTGATCTAATCACATTTGCATGTTTTCAAGCTGCTAGGATGGCAGAAGCTGGGCTTAACAGCGGGAGCTTGCCCAGATGCTATTTGGATGCATAGATTTGATATTCATCGTGCCAGATTCATTACTTTTATGTGCCTTGTGTCAGCATCCTTATAAACAAAAATAGGTGCTATCGGTTGGCTTGAGGTTCAGGCATGTGGGCATTCTTTAAACATTTGTAAGAAAACAGCAGAAAATGTGATCACTGTAATAGGCAAGAGGTGGACCATGACTCCATAATTCCTAACAAAACAATGGATGGTCTTGATTCTCCTCCTTGAGGGGACCCTTAAGAAAATGCTTTAGCTCATCTTTGATGGCTGCTTGTTTTATTCTTGGCCCTATACACATTCCTGGTACTTGAGTTGCAACTGACCTGGATCTAGGGAAGGACTCTTGTATGTTCCTTTTACTTCAATCAGTTACTTATATGGTGAGCCACATGCTCTCTTTTAGGACAGGGATGTGAAGTGTGTGGTCTCCAGGTCAAAGATGGAGCAACTCCATTGGTCCGGTGGTCAGATTTCAGAAAGTGTCCATGGAAACATCCATGGATGGTCTATGTTCAAGATTTTGTGCCCACTCCTCCATCTCATGCTAACGAGTGTTCTGTACCATTTGCTGTAATGCTGAACAGGCTGTTGGGAGTTGCAGTTCAGCAACGAAGATCACAAGTTCTTCACTTCTGTGTTAAGGAAGGCGATACAAGAATGGAGTTGTAAGAGACCCCTGTATTCTGGAGTGCTCTGTCAATCTGTGTTTGCATTTTGGGTAGCTTATGGCTATTTTTACCTGCTCAATGCATGGCTTTGGATGCATATAAACATTCATGGAAAATGTTTCACCTATTGCAGGCTGGAGAGCTTACCTACTTTCATTAACTTCACAATATCCCCCTCTTCTGGCGGTTCTTGGAAGTGCATAATGCACTTTTTCTCTTCGACATGGTAGGTCTTTCCTCCCTACTGATGACTTCAGACCTGGGATGCTTTTACACTGTGATTCCACTTAAACTGCTATAACATTCTTTTATTTATAACTAACCGTCCCCTGCCACACATTGCTGTGGCCAGTCTGTGTATATGTGTTTTTTGTGTGTGTATATATGTGTGTTTATATATTTGTGTATATGTGTATATATGTGGTTTTGCGTTGTAATGGATTTTTTTTATTTTTTGGCTTTTAAGACTCTTCCACTGTGTTTTTCAGTGTTTTCATGAGTGATGGTCATGCATTGGCCTGATAGGTGTATTGTGTCCAAATTTGGTGTCAATTCATCCAATGGTTTTTGAGTTATCTTAATCCCACAAACGAACATTAAATTTTTATTTATATAGATTCTAAATGTCGTTGCATGAATTACAAATCCCAGGATTCCATAAGATGGAACTGTAGAATCATAACACTACAATTGTATAGGGTGAAGGGGCTCTTGCTCTTATAAATCCCATACAGCTAGATTCCAGATGTGTGTAGAAAGCTATTTGAGAATCGTAAACTTGTGCACAGAAAGAACCTTGCTTACCTCTTTATTTCTGTATTTTCATTATGATCCTACACATTCCTGTCCATTATGCAATCAATTGCCATCTTTCCTTTGATATTTTGAGGATTTAGATGAAAAGACTGAATTTTTGTTCTAGTCTTCTCACCAGTCAGTTTCCCCCAGCTTTGATTCAAGAATGTTTCACTTTAAAATATCTTATTGTGTGTTTCTGGTTGATGTGGACATGAATAGTTTGAGGAAGATGCTGGATATCTTTTTAAACGTAATGTACGTATAAGAATGGTTAGTAAATTAAAATCCTGTACAGTTTTTTCTGCTGATTCCGAATTAATAAAATTAATTTTAACATTATGGATGCAAAATCCAGTCAAACAAGTTGACTCAAATTGTGAATGCTAATAGTAATGACTGGAATCCTAGAATTATGCATTCATGAATGTTTTGATCCCTACATAGTGTGTAGTTTACACATTATATAGGGATCACGAAAGTTCCCTACTCCTTGCCTACTGGGTAGTAGCCACTGAAATAAATTGGAGTCTGTTCTCCTGTTGATCGGAAAGCAGCAGGTGATGATCCTATGCTCTCATGTATGAGTGATCTCTGACACAAGGGGAAATTGCCTCGGGGATCCCACTTCTGCTTGTCACAGAAAATACAGAGATCACTCCCAGGAGAAAGTGGGGTTGTCAGCTGCTTCCCGATAGACAAAGGAATGGACACCCATTGATCTGCTGCCTGGCAAGTGGAAATTGTGGGGATCAAGACAGGGGTAACTGTATAGCAGGCATTGGCAAACTAAGGCCCGGGAGGTGGATGCAGCCCTCAGATCCTCCATATTCTTCATGTGCTCTTGGCATAAGGACACGGAGGCCCACTGCATACTTACGCCAAAAAGGTGAGGGAGGAAGACATGCTACAGCTAAGAGCCCAATGCAACCCCAAGGCAAAAAGGTTGCCCATGCCTGCTGTGTAGCACTTACACAATGTACTTATGCATTTTTAACTCCCATAGGATGGCACACAGTAGTAGTGGTAGTAATTTATATTATAACCCCATACAAGGGGCATGCCCTACATGGCCACCTGAAATGTTCTTCAGTAAAATTTTTGCTAATCAACCTAATTGAGGCAAGGCAATGAGAATTCATGATGTGGGGAATTGGGGAAAGGTAGAACATGGCCTCTTTGTGGTATGACTGAGGAGTCCAGTTGCTAACTTTTTATGCTGCCTTCCCTCAACTTCTCTACCCACACTAGCCATTAACCAGTTCTTTGCCTCTCCACTCCCATTCTGTGTCAGTAATATACCAAATGGCCTGACTACTGTAGCTTGAGACAAACAAGCCCACACTCTAACATAGCTGTTTCCATGTTGTCAGAACAGAGGGGTGAATAGGGATGTATCCAAACTATGTTCTTCTATCTGGATAGCTGACAAGGACTGTCTTGCAGAAAGCTTGCGTGATCGTCTGAGGCCTGGATGCATTCTCATTCATCCTTCTGCTCTCCAACAATACAGGAAAAGCCGTGTTTGGAAAATAAGCACTCTGCCTACAAGGCTCACTTGGGGGGGGGGGGGGGGGGGGGCACTTCAGAAGATGCAGTTATGGAGATTTAGTTATGTGATATGCAGGATCTAGATTATTTTTTAAAAAACTGCTACATAAACATTTGAGCTTGGACTCCTAAAACAATATTAACTGAACAAAAGATGGGGGAAAGCTACCAAAGTTTGGCTACATATGACCAGGAAACCGTGACTGAACTTACCTTGGCAAGGAGTATCAGTGGAAGAATCAAGGGAAAGGAAATCTAAGCAGAAAACCCATTCCTGAAGAGAGGCCCATGACATGGATCCCTGACCCATGTTCTTCATTCCCTGTTCATGTTTTGACTCTGTACATGTACATAGTGTTAACAATGAACTTTGGGTGACTATCTACAAATGGGTAGTCCATATCTGTACTTTCAGGCATTCGTTAGATAATAGTGAGGTTTTGATACCCAAAGCATTTTGGTTCCAAGAGCATCATGGATATCAAAATCCATGGATGCTCAAGCCCCATGACACACAACGGTGTAGTACAATGGTGTTCCTTTTATAAAATGTCAAAATCAAGGTTTGCTTTTTGGAATGAGGGGAATCTTTCAAAACTGTGGATGCTAGAATCCATGGCTGCAAAATCCATGTATGCATAGGGCCAAGCATGTATGTGAAACAAATTATGACAGTAGAATGGGTAAGAAAGCAGACATTCCTGAGCTGGAAGAGTTTCTTTGATGAGGATGAGGAATGTGTGACCCCCTTAAAGAGACATATTATTCTGAAGTAGCTCTTACATTTAAGTTTTGCACATTGTTTTTAAGCATGCCAAGCACTGGGAGTAACAAGCCTGCAGTATTGGTTCCTCAATGGCTTTTTCCAGTGGGTTATACTGTTCAGGCTCCACAAATGATTCAGATGCTCCATAATCTTCTTGTAGTAGCCTTCTGGGAATATTGGGAGTAGTGCTGTTTTTCTTTTACTCCCAAAGGATAGAGTCCAGACCATGTGTTCCTAGACAACACTAGGGTTGGAAGTATGTCATTGTGTGTCCCAGGAAACCAAGGGATATGATTGTGAGACAAGATGGTGCCCTCCCAATTCCTAGAACAAATGACAAAGCCCTGTTGCAAACAGTTTTGTGATAAGTTTTTTTTCAATTTCTTTTGGAAAAAATATACAAAAACCCATGAACCAAACATGATAGACATTCCAGCAAAAGTACAGAGAGGGGCTTCATTCCTCAAAAGAAACATGTGATGGGTTATAACCATGCTAGAAAAATGTGATGCAACAGGAAAGCCCAAGGACAAAAAGATTGACCAGAAAACTAGTGTTCATCCCCCCACCCCACCCAATTTGTTAACAATACTGTGCAAAGTGAAAACAAGTTTTGGATACAAATCCATTACATTATGACTCACAAAGGGAGACATGGCCTGTTCTTGTGATGACAAAGCAGGCACTTCTATGAGAAAGGCATCATACCCAAATCTTTTAAGCTGGCCCGTATTATACATTTACCATATAAGAAGTAACCAAGTCTTGCTGATCTAGAAGGCTCCCTCTGTACAAACAAGGAGAACTGCAGGCTGAAGGTTTAGATTTGCTTCCTTTTCCTTCTGTTGACATCCCAGTTTATCTTTCTGGCAGCTAATCTTCCCTGGCAGTTGGAAGGAAAAGAGGGAAGATTAGTTGCAATTGATCACTAGAGATAACAAAAGGCAGAGAAAGCTCAGCCATCAGCCCCTCTCTTGCTGGGAAAGAGGGAGGCTTTCAAGAATTTTGAATAGGCACAAACTAGGCTACTTTTCATGTGGTTACATGGCACACACAGCGTGGGTCTAATTTCCCATTCACGTTAACATGAATGGTGTTACTTTAGGTTAGCACCAGTGGAACAGAGTCACAAATTGATTTGCCTGTGAAGCTGTTGTTTGATGTCATAATGCAGCAATGAAACATTTACACTTCCTTCTATTACAAAACGCTAGGTGGACCCACCCTGATGACTCCAGACTTCAAGAACTTGAGGTGCAATGAGTTCCAAATATCTCATATTTAAGGGTTGAATACATTTGGTCCAAGGACAAGTGCTACTTCCAGAGCCACCCATGTCTTAATATGCATGCATTTGCCACAAATGAAGGGTTACATACTTCAATTACACAGTGAAATGAGCATTTTGGTAGCACTCTGGTAAAATGACTAGATGATCATGTCTGTGAAGTTTCCTACATGACAATGTTTCTGCTTCTAAGCAGAGCATAAGAAACAAGTCTATATATTTATTCAAAAAGTCCCATTCTGGGGTGGACTTGAGCTTACCATAGACTAATGGTTCTCAACCCATGGGTCTCCAGGTGCTTTGGCCCACAACTCCCAGAAATCCCAGCTAGTTTACTACCTGTTAGGATTTCTGGGAGTTGAAGGCCAAAACATTGGGGGACCCACAGGTTGAGAACCACTGCCATAGACCATCGTTCTTTGGTCCACAACTGCAATAATACTTGCACAAACCTCTAAGTTCACACCTTGTAGCCATACAAAAGCTCTCACAATATTGTGTTAGTTCTTATCAGTGTTAACTAGCACATTGACTCTCTGGAACTAAATTGCTAGGTGCTCAATTCAGGAAAATCCCTCCTCAATTCACAAAAATCTTAACATTAACCATGGCACATATGCTGCAGTTACATATTCAGAGAGTCCATGGTAGTGATGTCGGATTTCATATGCACATGAATGGCCAGAGTTTCTCCACAGTTTCCATGGCAGCGGCTCCAAGAAGGTATGTTCTCAAAATGTGATGGTTTGTCTGTGGGTTCACATGAGCACAGAGCATTGGGAAAAGCCACAAGGAGTACTGAGTAGGTTGTATACACAGAAACAGTGCTTCAAGACCAAGCAGTTTTTGGAGTAAGCCACCTGAAGATCGCACACTTTGAGCACAATCCATTAATGAACTTCCTGAGCAAGCTCCATCAAGATGCACGGAAATCCTGAAAAACAATTCAGAGGTCCACTGTCCAATTCCCATTCATACTGAAGTTCACAATAGACTAATCCACAGTCATCTCCTAACCATGCTGAATCTGGATTCAACCGTACATTTTTTCCATCGGCATATGCCTAAGGAGATAGATTTCAGTTCTCCTGTGACAACTCTACAGCAACGTCACTAAAACAAACAGGAGTTACTGCAAAATTGCATCAGCTGGACTGATTTGAGTCCTTTCACTTACCGGAAAGCATTTCCCCTGGTAACAAAAAGGTAGAGGTGAAATAGTATCATAATTATCATTTAATTTATTGTATATAAAACAAAATCAAAAAAGGTCTGTGTACAAATATCACAAAACATCAACAATTCCCAAAGATGTAGTGCCTCAGAACACATTTTTCAAACATGAAAAGGTCTCTCACATTTTTTTAAAAAACTTTTTTTTGTTTTGATCTTTCTTTTTAATTTTCTTTTGTCTTAAAATCTGACTTGAATATATTAAAGCTGACCAAAAAAGGGGGGAAAAATTGGAGGGCGAGCTACATCACTTCCTGATACAAAAAGGTACAAAACATTAGCTTCTAACTAGACATAACATAATACTGGTCGTCACAGTCTGACATTTAGTATAACTGTGTGTTGTTGTGGGAGTATTGTAACGGAGGAGGGCGATAAAAAATAGCTTCTCTTGCCATCTTTCAGGTTACTTCAGTCATAGAGGCAGAATGATTCTATAGAAAAAGAGAGAGGACAAAAAGCACAGAACAGTTTTTAGTACGTTATGTTGTAGTTAGCGCTATCATGATTAGGATAAGTAATAAAAAATACCTTATCCAAGAGAAAATCCAGTCCATATAGTAAGGCTACTTATTTCACACTATAAGACTGCATCTAATACAGCCATCACCAAAATGATTCTCTCCCAATTGGTCAGCAAAGGGCTTGGGGATGATGGGTGTTGTAGTCCTAAGACATCTGAAGACCACTAGGTTGGGAAACATTGTGTTAACATATTTACTTCTCACTGTCCCCATACAAAGAATGCTCAGTTGGAGTTGTAAGGTTTTTAATAGCCTTTAATATCAGACTGATACTGGGGTCACCAACTCTGGATTTTTAAAAAAAATGTGTGTGTGATCAGGGGAAAACCATTAAGATAGCCAGGTAGACGATAGTGGGGAAAGAATAAAGGGACTAAAGTTTCGTATAGAGTTTGCACTTGATTTTTAACTGGTATAGGACAAAAGATTTGGGCAATGCCTGGCCATGAATCTAACACAATGGGAGAATTTGGATGTCAAGCTAAATTATTGTTCAGGTGAAGAAGAATGAACTACAGCAAGAGTTGTGGCCCCATGCCCCTTCCATCCCTTCTTTCCCTCTGGCATGGCTATGAGGAATTTAGAAATATGCAGTTTTTTTAATCAAAAAATTCACTCCAGCTTGTCGTATCATCCAAACCCAACAAGCTGAGATTTAGGATAATCAAGAAACCAATTGCAAATCATGGGTTAAGACTGTGAGTTAGTCAAGGAACCCTCATTCAGGTTAATTTAGGGTTCTGATCACAATAAAATGGGATACTTTACAGCTTTCAGAAATGAATGCTTCTGAATTCCCCATGATTGAACTCCTCCTCATGTCTGCACTGGAGAATGGGAGAAGAGAGGACCTGGGCAAGCCCAGCATTTGCTGCAGCTTCATTTAGAGTGACATCCAGATGTGGACACTCCCTACAGCTGCTGTTTCCAAGTTGCCATGATTGACTGCCGCAAGCCACAGCTCCCTCATTTTTTTCCAATAAGTCCCCAGAATGAGAAAAAAAGTTCAAAGAGGCAGGGTAGATGGCACCTGTGCACTCAGGGTCTCCAAGGGGCTTTCCACTCTTGGAAATGCCATCAGGGGCACGCCTCGCTGTTCGTCAGGCTTTGACTTAGAAGGAGCTCCATGTGTTCCCTTGAAGTTATGAACCACACATATTCCCTGTGAAGCAGAGAAGGGGAAAAGGAAGGAGAATATGGTCATCATCATCATGATCATTCATCACCTCCATCCATCTTGTCACAAACATAAGCCTGAAATCTCTTCTTAGTTCGAACAAGGGGATGCCCTCTGAATCAATTATTAAATGGTGAGTTGGCACTGTTTAAGTCTCTGTGAGCTGATGATTCTAGTCTAGTTGTGTTTATGAACACAATTCAGTCTATAAAGTTCCTTTATTAGAAGACGATATTTAAAGCTTTCAACTGAAACTGTCACTAAGTGGCTTGGGACCAACCATCCCCCTTAGTTCGTCCAATTTGTGAGGTTCTTCTGAGAGCCACCTTGAATCCTTTACAGTAAATGTGGGATATCAATGTCATAAACAAACATATAAGCAAAAAAAAACAAAACCCTTCTCTTGCTCTGATTTATTCTACGTGGTTGCCATGTAAATATTTCCACATGGTGGCTCTTACCACTTGCTATACTACTGCGGAATGCCTTAGGACCCAAACTACACTGACATCTATAATCCCGATTATGTTTTGAACTGGATTATATGGTAGTGTAGACTCATATAATCCAGTTCAAAGAAGATAATCTGGGTTATATGGCAGTGTAGATCCAGCCTTAGTGAGATGGGTGACTGTCTTTCTTTTTTGTTTTTCTTTGAATACTCGGTAAGTCTTGTTGCAAGTTGCAGTCTAGGGGGCAAAGATATAAAAGATTGATTTTCAGTGAGAGAGAGGAATTGTGCAAGCCATTCGCTTACCAGAAACAGAGCTACGGCGCTTCCCAAGATGAAGCCTGCAATGACATCTGAACAGTGGTTTCGATATTCAGAAACCCGGTTGAGACCTGTAAGGAATGCGGCGCAAAGAGTTCCTAGGCACAGTACTGGCTTGGCAAGCCTACTGCTTTTTGTCTTGATTGTGCTGGTGATGTACATCTGAAACACATCCAAAAGAGATCACCCTCAGAGACATCAGATGGGACTTCAAACTCTAATCATTCCCTACACATCCCATCTATGAACTACTGTTTTGAACTACAATCCAAAAAGGAGAGACCAGCTGAAATGAATTGGGCCCATTACTTACTCACTGGAATCCTACTGATTCAAATGGGACTTTTGCAGGTAGTTCTAATTTTGGAGTTATCTCAATGAAATAAGGACAAAATATACCAAGCAGCTAAGTTGAAAAAGAAAGGCATCTAGATTTCAGGAACAAACTGTAGATTTTATTAGGTTTCTTGTTAATGGCTACTGAGAATGGTCTTGTATGGTTTTATATAGAAAAGAAAATAGATCACAACCGTTTCTTAATAAATGAGATTTCAGCTCAGTTTCACAAAATTTTGCAAAAGGGGTGCAGAATTTGTAATACACTGTTCAATGGAAATTGAAATTAAGTTGTTGATAAACTTGTTAAGTAGGAGCCCTTGGTGGCGCAATGGGTTAAACCATTGTGCTGGCAGGACTGAAGACTGATAGGTCAGAGGTTCAAATCTCGGGTGTGGATGATTTCCCTCTGTCAGCTCCAGCTCCCCATGCGGGGACATGAGAGAAGCCTCCCACAAGGATGGTAAAACATCAAAACATTTGGCCATCCCCTGGGCAACGTCCTTACAGACGGCCAATTCTCTCACATCAGAAGTGACTTGCAGTTTCTCAAGTTGCTCCTGATCAAAAAAACAAAAACAAAAACTTGTTAAGTTTACAGGGATAAAAAATTGCCACTTTGAAAGGGCCAGTAACAAAATGTGCTACCCAAGGCTAACTCTGACAATTTCTGTAACATTCCCTATAAATTGCATATTAATGAATGAATGAATGAATGAATGAACAATAATATAATGAATTAAATTAATTCAATTTTCAGCACTTATGCTAAAGAATTGATTTTCCAATTCCTAACATCTATCATTATTCAACTGTAATGCTCTGATCTTTACAAAAAATATATATCCTGTAACAACTAGAAATTTTCATTTCTAAGGAGAAAGCTAGGTTTCCTTCTAAAAGGGATCCTTGTCACCTGAGCTGAATCACCCTGAGCTTTGGTTTCTGTATGCTTGTGTCAAGCTTCCGGCACACTCCCCTTCCAGTAAACCTCCCAGTGACAAAGAAGGATGGAGGAGTATAAATGGAGAATCTCCAAGACATAGCAGATTTATGACTTCCAACAATTGTTGGCAAAAGTTCCAGTTATCATAGATTTAGGGGCTTATACCCTCATTTCCCTAGTCTTCTGATTTCTTTATATTGTTTTTCTTTACCCCCATCCATGTCCTCCATTTCCATTAGTCAATCATCCACCAACTGTTTTCCCGTTACTCTTTTTAATTTATCATCAGATTTTCATGGCATGGGACTTAGTATACCTTCATCACAATCTCATCTAAGCTGATAAGCTAGTAATGATAATTCCCATTGTTAGAGAAAATGTTTTGAAAGCACAGTCACAATTTATTCTTGCAACAAAGGCTATATCCACACTGCAGAATTGTCGCAGTTTGACACCACATTCACTGCTTTCACTCTAGAATTCTGGGATTTGCAGTTTCGTGAGATTTTTCCTCTTTTCTGTCAGAGAGCTCTGATGCTGCAACAAAGTACAAAACTGAGTATTCCATAAGCCATGGCAATCAAGTGGTGTGAAACTGCAATAATTCTGCAGTGTATATAGTCTCAAAGAAAATGTTGGAGTGGGGGTGGTTTGGGAAGGGATTGGTGCAAGTGGTGGTTAGCTGAATATTGTATCAGCCAGACACCAATGGCTTTGAATGTGTTTTAATGGATTTGAACTGTGATTTTTAATATTTTATATTTAATTCTGTTTTTATGTTTGCATATTTATATATTTTATATTGTATGCTACTGCTTTTACGTTAGGTCACCTTGAGTCTCCTTCAGGAGAGATAAAGCAGGTATAAATTAATAAATAACTATAATCATGGTGAGAGGGATGGGAATTAAGATGCCAATAAAATCTTGTCACCCACAAGCTGTGAAACACTGTTTTACAGAAAATATCCTCACCAGGAGAAGAACTATAAAATCTAGGGGAAAAAACTGCATTACTCTCACCTGGAAGTGTTGCAGCAAGAGGTGCTCATATTTCTTTCTTAAAAGATGTAGGAGAGCTGTAGAGTATTCAGAAATATAAAAATGGAGAACATTGTGGATAAAGACAGAGCTTAATATACTTACTGTAGCATATAAGGCTGAATAAATGCTTAAAGCAGCGTGTTTGGATGGAAAGGATCTCCTCGCCTTCTCAATTGCATCCTGGCTGCCGGTGCAGATATTCCCATTGTTAACAAACTGATGGTTTGCTCGGCAGTCACTCCCAGTATAGTTTGGTTTACACACAGTCAAGAAATAGGGTGCCAAATTTCCTGTCACAACCTGGCCGGCATTTACGAATATGTCTGTGGCAAAAAGGCCAAACGCAAATACACCTGTGGCAAGGTAGGGGTTCAAAGAAAACAAAAGAGAACACTGGGGTCATTATGGGTGATGCCTGAAATATAAGAGAAATGGAAGAAATATGAGCTGTACAGGTCTGCGTATTATGTGAGAGACCAGTTTCGTATAATACAGTTTTTGCATAACCTGGAATCCTATTTTTCTTACCTAAAATGAATGTCTTAGATTTCTGGTCTTAAGTGCACCAAGAATCACAGGAGGAGCCAGAAAATGTCTAGGGAAGTAGTCTCTCTAAGATCTCAACACAGTGCCATGGTCAACTTATGGCAGAACTTCCAGCAGAAGTTTATTTATTATTTATTACTGTGCTTATATACCGCCATTTCTCAGCCTAAATCGGCGACTCAACGCGGTTACAACACAACGACAAGCAGCAATATTCCATTAAAAAGCATAAAAACACATACACAATACACAATATTATTGGGCCACCAATAATAATCCAATGCATCTCTTAATTGTAGTCGCAATCCAATTTCGTCGTCTGTGATTAACCAATCCTTGTTCATCAGTTTCGTTGCACCAGATTAATCGAATGCTTGTTTAAACATCCATGTCTTCAACCTTTTTCGAAATACCATCAGCGAAGGGGCTGATCTCACCTCTATGGGGAGAGCATTCCAAAGCCGAGGGGCCACCACAGAAAAGGCCCTGTCTCTCGTTCCCGCCAGCCGCACCTGTGAAGCAGGCGGGATAGAGAGCAGGGCCTCCCCAGAAGATCTTAGGGTCCTGGTGGGCTGATAGGCCGAGATACGTTCGGATAGATAAGTTGGGCCAGAACCGTTTAGGGCTTTAAAGGCCAGCGCCAGCACTTTGAATTGGGCCCGGTAGCAAATCGGCAGCCAGTGGAGCTGGTACAGCAGAGGAGTTGTATGCTCTCTGCGCCCCGCTCCTGTTAGTACCATGGCTGCCGCCCGTTGGACTAGTTGGAGCTTCCGAGCCGTCTTCAAAGGCAACCCCACGTAGAGAGCGTTGCAGTAGTCAAGACGGGATGTAACCAGAGCGTGGACTACCGTGGCCAAGTCAGACTTCCCAAGGTACGGTCGCAGTTGGCGCACAAGTTTTAACTGTGCGAATGCTCCCCTGGTCACTGCCGAAACCTGGGGTTCCAGGCTCAGCGATGAGTCCAGGATCACACCCAAACTGCGAACCTGCGTCTTCAGGGGGAGTGCGACCCCGTCTAACACAGGCTGTAACCCTATACCCTGTTCGGCCTTGCGACTAACCAGGAGTACCTCTGTCTTGTCTGGATTCAATTTCAATTTTTTCGCCCCCATCCAGACCGTCACAGCGGCCAAGCACCGGTTCAGGACCTCGACAGCCTCCTTAGTAGCAGGTGGAAAGGAGTGACAGAGTTGGACATCATCTGCGTACAGATGACATCGCACTCCGAAACTCCGGATGATCTCGCCCAGCGGCTTCATGTAGATGTTAAACAACATGGGAGACAGTATTGAACCCTGAGGAACCCCACAAGACAAAAGTTGTGGGGTTGAACAGGAGTCTCCCAGTAACACCTTCTGAGACCGACCCTCGAGGAATGAGCGGAGCCACTGCAGAACAGTACCTCCAAGACCCATCCCCGCGAGGCGTCCCAGAAGGATACCGTGGTCGACGGTATCGAAGGCCGCTGAGAGGTCAAGCAGCACCAACAGGGACACACTCCCCCTGTCGAGCTCCCGGCGCAGATCATCCACTAAGGCGACCAAGGCTGTCTCGGTACCATGCCCCGGCCTAAAGCCAGACTGTGCCGGGTCCAGATAATCCGTGTCTACCAAGAATGCCTGGAGTTGTGAGGCCACCACACGTTCCATGACTTTGCCCAAAAAGGGGAGATTGGAAACAGGCCGATAGTTGACGAATTGAGTGGGGTCCAGTGATGGTTTTTTCAACAGCGGTTTTATCACAGCTTGCTTTAAGCTGGCTGGAATGATGCCTTCCCGAAGGGAGGCATTAACCACCACCTTCACCCACTCGGCCAATCCCCCTCTGGCCTCCTTCAGAAGCCAGGATGGGCAGGGGTCTAGGATGCATGTGGTAGCTCTCATTCCTCCAAGCACCTTGTCCACATCCTCGGATTGAACCAATTGAAATGAATCCATCAAAACTGGACAAGCAGATGCTCGTGTTACATCCTCAGAGACTGCCGTTAATATGGTATCCAGACCAGAGCGGATCAAAGCGACTTTGTCTGCAAAGAACTGAGCAAAAGCTTCACAGCGAGCTGCCGAGTCATCAGGGCACCCATCCTGAGTGGTGGGTTTTAACAGGCCTCTGACAACTCGGAACAGTTCAGCCGGACGGTTCTTTGCAGACGCAATAGTGGCCGCAAAGAAAGTCTTCTTTGCGGCTTTTATTGCCGCGGCATATGCCCTTAGAAAGGACACAAACCGTGTTCGATTTGGCTCGCTCGGATCCGAACGCCACATGCTCTCTAGTTCCCTCTTCTTTCGCTTCAACGCTGCCAGCTCCTCGGTGAACCAAGGAGCTGGTTTAGCTCGGCTACTTGAGAGGGGACGTTCTGGAGCGATCGTGTCTATTGCCCTAGTCATCTCCCCATTCCAGAGAGCGACCAGGGCATCAACAGGATCACCTACCGAGGTGGCGGGAAATTCCCCAAGAGCCGTCAGGAATCCATCCGGATCCATAAGCCTCCTGGGGCGGACCAGCTTAATGGGTCCTCCACCTCTGCGGAGGTTAGGGGGTGCAGTGAGTCTAAAGCTGACCAGGTGGTGGTCGGTCCATGGCAACGGAGAGATGGATAACTCCTCAACACCGCCACCTTCCTCCCATCCCTGACAGAAAACCAAGTCCAATGTATGTCCAGCACTGTGGGTGGGGCCAGATACCTGTTGGGACAGCCCCATGGTTGCCATGGTAGACATGAAGTCCTGAGCCGCTCCCGATAAGGCAGCCTCGGCATGGGACATTGAAGTCCCCCAGCACAAGCAGCCGTTGGGACTCCAATGCCAGGTCCGAGACCACCCCCGCTAGCTCAGGCAGGGAGACTGTAGTGCAGCGAGGTGGACGGTACACTAACAGAATCCCTAATCTGTCCCGGTCACCCACCCTCAGGTGGATGCATTCAAAATTTGTTGACTGCGGGATGGGGGCCCTGGTCAGAAGAATGGAATCTCTGTAGACCACTGCAACCCCGCCTCCCCGCCCTCCGGATCTCGGTTGGTGCTGCACAGAGAAACCTGGTGGGCAAAGCTGGGTCAAGTTTACACCTCCCGCTTCGTCCAACCAGGTCTCTGTGATGCACGCCAGATCTGCCCGTTCATCCAGGATTAAATCCTGGATGAAAGTTGTTTTACCATTGACAGATCTGGCGTTCAACAGCATCACTTTCAATCCGGAGGGACCGCCATCCTGGTTACACCAACTTACCATATCAGGAGACCGATTTGGAATTACTAATGTTGTTCCACAGTCCCTAGGCCGAATTAAAGGTCTCCTTTTCCCGTATCTCCCCCTCCCCACCACGACTTCTATGGGGGCTCCTCGGTTAACGGAAGCCTCTCCCTCCTCCATGACGCATTCAGCAGCCAAAGTATCACCCCATAGATCATTATTGACTGTTTGGTATGTTACAACTTCAGATTGCCATAGTCTTGCTTTACATTCATTTCCCGCTCCTGCTATATTATACGCGGGTCTTTCTGAGCTACTCTGTTCCCTCTCTCCACTATAAACAGTTAGCAGCAAGATTAACAAATGCCAGGGAATGGGTAGTGACATGAATGATAGTTGTTAAACACTGTCAGAAAAGTTCACTAAGTTCCTAAAGTGCAGATAGATAATTATATCAGCATACACAATGGTATAATTGATTAAAGTGCAGTAGCTTGTCAATGGCTCTAAAGTGCTAGATGAAGTGCGTCATGGAGGACTTAGTTGACCAGAGAATTGTGTTGGAGGCCTAGATAGAACATTTAACCATTTTCTGGGCCCTCCGTTGCAATTCTTTGCATGCAGTAGTTTCCTTCTGTCCTGGGAGATCATTTTTAGAACAATTATTGCATTTCAAGAAGATGCCAGATTGTCACAGGAATCTAGGAAGCCCCCTTGCATCAAATTAGGCAACTAGTCCATCTAGTGTCACATTCTCAATACCGACCAGAACTGACACTCCAGAATTTTTAATAACAGTCCTTCTGAGCCTTTAACATAGTGGTGGGAAACAACTGGCCTTTGGGTTGTTACTGGAACACATCTCCTATTGGTCCCTGCTATAATTGATCACAGCGGGAAACAATAGGAGTTGCAGTTCAATATAATCTGGAGCATCATCAGCAGTAATCCCCCTTTTCATGTTTTAGTAGAGTGTGGTGAAGATGTGCCCCTTGAAATGCCACACTAAAATTCATCATCCCTCTCCATTGGCTATGGTGCCTGGCAGGGCCATAGCCAGAAAAAAATGGCGGGGGGGTTTTTTTTTGCAAATTTCAGGGGTGGGATGGGGTTGAAACCTTCTTCCCAGCTCATGCTGAAGTAAAGAGCACAGCAGGGGGCAGAGTAGCCTTCAATAGCCTGCAGCTCCGCCCCTGTCAACCACCTCCACCAAGTCTGGCCTCCTTAATGAGAGCATTCAACCCCCCCCCCAACTTGGTTGCTTCGCTACATCAGCTATTGCTGCAAGTAATGACAGTGTGAATAAATTATCAATATTTGCTTGAGATAGTGCTTGCAGTTCTGGAGGGACTCTTAATTTTTTTTTTGCATCTCATAGACTTAGCATGGGGATTTGGTTAACAGTTAAAATTCATGAGTAAACCAGTTTTTTTAAACCTGAAAAATTTCGGGAGGGGACTTCCGGTGGGTGATGGCGACGGGAAAGCCGCATTGAGAGGGAGCTCCGATGCGGACCAGCGTTGAGGCGCCTTAAGGGTGAGATTAAGCTCCCCCACCATCACCAGATTGAGTGTGAAGGTGTAAAGCAACCCGTGGGAGGCTCGTAGACCCCAAATAC